CTTAACTAAACTAAATAAATATTCATACCAAAAGAAATGCAAGTCAAAATACAACTTTTTTAAATTTACTTATTCAAACTTACAGTGGGATATCACAAGCCACATGTCTAAAACAGCAAATTCTAAAATAATATAAACACGCCAGATATAAACATTTTATTATTATTATTAATAGTTGAAACTCAACTAAATAAATATGCACGCCAATAGAAATCCAAGTTGCAATATAAATTTTATAACCAATTTAAACTTACAGTATGACAGCTTATACCAAGTGTCTAAAATAGCAAATTCTGAAATAATATAAACAAGCCATACACAAACTTAGTTGTAATCAAATTATATAAACATGAACGTCAAAAGAAATGCAAGTTAAAATATAATTTTTTTTAATGTACTAATTCAAACTTACAGTGGGATACCACATGCCACGTGTCTAAAACAGTAGATTCTAAAATAATACCAACACATCAGATATAAACTTAAATTAAATTTAACTAAATAAATATGCAAGTTACAATATAAATTCTACAATCAATTTAAACCTACAATGTGACACTAAATGCCGTGCCTCTTAAAAGCAGCAAATTCTAAGATAGTTTAAATAACTCATTTATAACCTTAGTTGTAACTCAATTAAATAAACATGAATGTTAAAAGAAATAGAAGTTCCAATATAATTTTTTTTAATTTTACAACTAGTTTTAACTTACAGTGGGATAACAAATGCCATGTGTCTAAAACAAAAAAATCTAAAATAATATAAACACACCAGTATAAACTTAGTTTATGATATTGGATGTAACATGTTTAATTTGGAAATTATTAAAAATTACAATTTATAAAATCATATTAACTAGCCATGTAAACTTAGCTGTAACTAACCTAAATAAATATACCTGTCAAAGATGTTAACATTTTTAATTTTACAACTGATTTAAACTAATATGGTATGTTACTACATGTCATATGCCTAAAATATAAAGTTAAACAAGACTATAAATAATACATTTAGTCTATATTATAGAAATAATTGTTCAACTAACTCTTTACTACTAGTAAAGGACTAGTTAAACTTTTATTTCTATAATATAGACTATATGGATTTCATATATTTTTGCATAATTTTCTAGATTCAGACATATAGTAACTTACCATATATGAATGTATTAACTTAGCATATATGTTATTATATATTATTTAGTAATACTAATGGCTTTTAATTTAAAATAAAATAAACCTTATTGTTTTATTTTCTATATAAAACTTTATATAGAAAATTTAAAATAAGTTAAATAACCTTTGAAATTGCAAATAACAGAGCGTAATTTAAATTATATTTATCCATTTGCTTAGTCTACTAAATGTAAAGCTTTTTAAAAAATGGCATATTACACTTACTGCAACCAACTTTTATCTACAATGTAAATGTAAATGCGAGAAAAACGCATTCAAAACTTTATCATTTTCAACCATTAACTATTTATGATTTTGTAATAACTCTGTCATTCATCCGTTTTAATTTATGGTTTTGCCATCCAGATTCAGTTTGAGTGAACAAAAAATTGCCATTGACAGTTCCAGAAGCATATGCAAGATCTTCTATCCGTGTGAACTTTTATTTCAAAAAAACGTGGGTTTTTAAGGTAGAACCATTAGCTACAAAGCAATAGCAGACATTAATATTTTCTTTAGGCCTTGATGAATTAACTTTATAAACTGTTTTTGCACCTTTCCTTGAGAGAACTCTCTTCATACTTGGGTTTAATTCAAAAATATGTCTTATAGATATTGTAAAAAGCATCTGGACGATCGAGGACATGAAGTAAACCATTCCTTCTTAAAAAGTTGGAAAAGTTGTCAAAAAATCTTGTAATTCTGCTGACTGGAACCATTGCTGCCGCTTTACTAATAAATTTAGAGGTAACTCTGAAATTATCTTACCCAATATTGCATTAAAAGTGCATTTTTGAACTGCGGAGTATTTAAAGGTTTTCGAAGCTTCCACACGTCTGAAGCAGCTATAATTAAATCATCCTTTGTTTTCTTCAAATACAGTTGATACTTTTTTCAGACTAGTTTTTTCAGACTTTCTTCATTATGTTGTTTTGTTAAATGCCAACTAATTGTTAATTTTGGTATGTCATACTTTTTGGAGGCAGCTTAAACTGATAAGGATTTTTAGAAAATTTTTCACAAGCCCTCCTGCATAGAAACAGCTTCATATTTTTATATTTTTATGATAAACCGACTATTGTTGGTTTTTCTTCATCAAAAGTATTGCAATTATCCATGTTTACATTATAGATCACATAAATTACTTTGTTTAATCAAAAAATAACTTCTAAATTTTTTAAAACTTTTTTTATTATAATGCCGCAAAATACAATTTTTTTTACCGCAAAAAACGTATTCATTGTTTACATAATTGTAAAGTTGTTTATTAATTAAATAATAAATTTACATTGATGAATTAAAAACTTTAAAGATAGTTATGTATTCTCAAATATTAATCATTATCATCGAAGATAATATCCATAAAGTGTAAAATAAAATGAAACACTTGAATCACTCATTTTGTTTTACAGAGGAAAAATCCAATCCTTGAAATTTAATTATATAGTTAAGTTATGTAAACAATAAATGTTTTTGTTTAAAATGATTTTGTACACATTTTTACAAGTTTTGTGAACTATTCAGAACATTTCAATTACTCTATAGCTTTTTTATTATAAAAAAGTATATACCATAACAAACACAAATCTTTTACCCTAATCAGCTGCAATTAATTACCCTAATCAGCCGCAATTAATTATATATGAAATTAATTTGAGTTACATTTAATATTTTGAATATTTGATTTTAGATTTTTTGAATTCTTGACACATCTTTTTCAAGAAAAGATGTGTCAAGAAAAGATGTGTTGAATGCAAATGCAAAGAAATGCAAAGAAAGAAGCCAACCTGCACAAATAAAACACTTTAGATTCAATTTTTGGTGTGAATTGTAAATAGAAGAAGTAGTATGAAAAAAATCTATAATGTTTTTTTTTATATGCATATTTAATTTTATTTTAGAAAAATTATCTTAAACCGTTTACTCTGGATGAAGTAAAGGAATCACTTTATGTAGGAAAGGTGATTTAGTTATACTATTTTTTTTATTGTTGAACTCAGTGTTTGAAAGTCACATAACTACTACATATTATTTTTTCTGATGTTAAGAAGCCATTTTACATAAGACTCTAGGTTGTACCCTAAATTTTTAAGTAGGGCTTTTTTGACTTTAAAATTGGAGTCCTTTTTTGAATTCTCTAGTTTTTTTAGTCAACTATTAAATCTATTTATTCTAAACATTTTTATAAAAAATAATGAATGAATTATTTTTTGTGTTTTAAATTAAATTTCAGACATTGCAAAAGAAGGTTTTTGTAAAAGCATCAGAGGTAAACATCCAATTAAGTAATAAAATTAATATATATTCCTTTATAAGATTCTTTTTATTATTTATTAAAAATAGATTTTATGCACTTTTGGTGATAGAAGCGGAAACAACGAAGTAATGTTGTTGATTTTGTATATGATTTTTAGTTTTTTATTGCTAATTTTTATCTATATTATATTAGTTATAATATTATTTTATGTTAAATATTTGTTATTTAAAATATATACAATTTTTTAAAGTAATTTTTTAGTTCTTTGTTTCTTGTTTTTTATTTAATGTTATTAATTAGTTTAAACAATAAGTATAAAAGTATAACAATGTTAAGTTAGTTAAATACTACCTAATGGTGTAACAATTTATTTTCTGTCTTTGCTGTCAAAAAAAATTTGCTATATATTTTAATTCTAAAACTAATTATAACACTACTAAGAATTAATTCATTCTTTTATAGCATCATTTCAAAATATTTTTTATTATTAACTATTCCAATATATATTCTAACATATAGCATTGATGGGAGTTATGTTTCTGAGAAAAACATTTCACCTGATATTGATTTTAAGGTAACTTGAAATTATTATATTTTTATAAATTGACATTTAAAACACTATTTAACCTTATTATTCTTTAATTATAAGCTCATCGTACTTAATGGCTTTAGAGTCAGTGTCTTTTTTGCCTTTCTCAATCTCTAACACAAATAATCAACTTTTCAGCTTGCTTTCTAGGTAACCCATATCAATTACCTTATCTACTTAACTTATGTTTTGTATCTGATCCCATTCATTGCTCAGTTTCTCCCAATTCACAATAAGGTGGTTTTGATAATGTCTTGATTTCTCCAGAACTTTTATCTCATTCTTTGACAATTTTCAAAGAATAATGAGATCTGGAGAAAAAAATGTTTTTAACTCTTATAGAGATATAGGAGGATATAGTCTAATTAGATATAGGAGTGAAAATATTCCATGTTCTTGCTGACAAATATGCTTCTTTGTAACTTCTTGGATCCAGACTGGTATGGAATTTTTTAATCCCTCTTAACGATTCAATCCCAGCGATTATTGTAAAATTTTGCCAGAATCAATTTTTTTTTTGTAAAAGTCCTCAATTTAAAATTTAGGCAGCACCCAAGTACAATGAGCGCTGTCAAAAGTTGCCTAATTTACTGCTGTTACTACTTTTGATAGTTAACTGAAGTTTATTTACTTGTCTTTACCTATCTTACCTAAAGCATTAAATCAACCTTCTTTATTCTAAGTTAACTTCATCTTTAAATCATCCTGATAACAACAATATTGATTCAGTAAGTTATATATTTTATTTTATTTTATGTAAATATATATGTAAATATGTCTATATATCTAAATATAAATGTAAATATGTCTATCTATCTAAATATTTAATATGATAGGAATAAATGATGATTCATAAGCTGTGTATAAGACTCAAAAAGTATTGGCGTACCAGTCAAAGAACCAGATAGATAAAATTATTATTAAATATAAGCTAAGACTTTGTATTACTAAAATAATGTTAATTTACAAGATATTCAAAAATGTCTTTTTTTTTCTTTTCTTGGTTTTTAGAGTGCAACCTCAAAAAAATAATATTTTCACCCTCTCACACCTTAACGCGTTCAGAGGATGCTGAAGTAAAAAAGGCAGTGTACAAAGATGTTTAATTGCAGTTAATACAATGTATGTTTTATTTTTGGTCTATGTTCTAAACAACAAATTTGTTTTTTTAAGTCAATTTATTGTGAAAGGTTAGCAAATAAAAAAAATATGAAATATACAAATGTGCTATAGCTTTTTACTGCATATAAAAGTAATTTGTTTTTTAACCTACAAGATATTATAGAATTTTATTTTCTTGTTTTTTAGAGTGCATCACCCAAGGTTTTCTTACCCTCTAATACCATGAAGCACTTTGGAAATGCTGAAGTAAAAAAAGTATTACACAAGGTGGTTGTATTTAAAATAAGATTTATACTAAATGTTTTTTCTGCCTAACTACCAAAATACTACTTTTTGTTATTGTCAGTTATTGTTAAATATGACTAAATATGATAATAAATGATGATTCAATAAGTTGTTTATAAGACTCAATAAGTATGGGCTTACCATGCAAAAAACGAGATTGATAAAGTAGTTATTAAATATAAACTAAAAAGACTTTGTACTACTAAAATAATTTAAATTTGCAAGATAATTAAATATGTGTTTTTTATTTTTGGTTTTTAGAGTGCAACACCAAAAAAGCGGTTATTTTTACCTACTCACACTTTAACAGGTCCAGGGGATGCTGAAGTTAGAAAGGTAGTGTACAAGGGTGTTTAATTGTAGTTAATACAAGATATATCTTTCATTTCGGCCTATGTTCTAAACAAATAATTTGCATTTTTAAGTCAAATTATTGTGAAAGATTAGGTGTTGGCAGATAAAATCAATATGAAATATATAGACTCAGGTTTCCCACAGTCCTGGAAAGTCTTGGAATTTTACTTGTGTCCTAGAATTTTTCATTTTTCCTTAAAAATCCTGGAATTGTCCTGGAATTTTAAAAATATTCTACTCAAAAAAAAATTTGTCTTGTTTTTAAGTAACATTGATTTCATAACTAAAATTTTATACTTGGGAACATTTAATTTTATTGTTTAGTGGTTTTCTGAAATTTAAGATGAAATCCTGGAAAATCCTGGAATCTTTTGTTTTTTGAATAAATCTAAGATTTTTTTGGAAATACCCTGCAAAAATTGGAAAATGGTCCTAGAAAGTCCTGCAATTTTGGGTTTTTCCCACATTAAAAATGTGTTTTTTAATCTACAAGAAATTATAGAATATTTTTATTTTTTTTTTTGCTTTTTAGAGTGCATCACCAAAGGATTTATTATCATTTAATACCCTAAAACACTTAGAGAAAGATGAAGTAAAAAAGATATTATACAAGGAGGTTATATTTGAAATAAGATTTATAATAGATGTTTTTTCTGCCTTACTATCAAAAAACTATTTTTTTTAATTATTACAGGGATTTTGAAAAGTTAGGTAATAGTACATTTTAAATTAGTATACTTATTTTGAAAAGTTAGTTATTGGTACATAAATATGACTCAATAATTTATTTGTAAGACTCAAAAAGTTTTGGTGCACCTATCAAAGAACCAGATAGATAAATTAGTTATTAAGTATGAGCTAAAAAGACTTAGTACTACTAAAATAATTTTAATTCATAAGGTATTTATAAATATTTTTTTTCTTTTTGGTTTTTAGAGTGCAACCCCAGAAAAAATGGTATTTTTACTCTCTCACACCTTAACACGTCTAGGGTATGCTGAAGTAAAAAAAGTAGTACACAAGGGTGTTTATTTGCAGTTAATACAAGATGTATCTTTTTTTTGTCTACTCGTTGTAGTTTAGGCACTTTTAAAATATTGTAGCGTCTGTATGATGTTTTGTTGACTACGACATATTTCCGTTAAATGGTCTGGTCTGCGAATTATAAAAAGACCAAAAGTATTAAAATGATAAATTTTGCGGAATCATAAAATATAAATGTTTGTAGCGAAAAAATCCAGACCGAAGATTCTTTTTTTAATAAAAAAATTATCTTAAAACCACAATCGCTCGTTCAAATTTGAATAAGATTTTATACTAATACGTTTTTTAAAATGAACATTATAGTTTAAGAATATCATCTGTTCTGATCGTTTATTGGTAATTTTCCATAATTACGAGCTCTTTCTTGGTCGGAATTCTAGTATTTTTTGTGAAAATTGATAGAAATATTGTGTTTTGACAACTATATATAGTTAATATACATCAGAACCGATTGGAACTAGGATTAGTAGTAAATTAAGAAACTTTTTCAAAATATTTTAACTAAATTCATGTTAATGCCGATGAGCGGAATTGATCTAAAGACTCCAGAATAGTGTTCTTTAGATTTACTATTACGGGTAGTAACAAGGTTTTGAAAATTATATATAAAAAAGAAAAGTTTCTTTAAATACTTTAAAAACCTTAAGTAAAAAAATTATAACATTCAAAGATCTTGTTCGGACATAATATGCTGACAAAACCATGCTAATTCCAAATAAAAGTATTCGAATATTTTGTAAATTGCCTTAACTACACAGAGTATGTTATAAAAAACATATTTGTTATTTCAAGTCACATTATTGTGAAAGCTTAGCTGTTGGCAAATAAAATAAATATGAAGTATATAGACTATATAAACTTTTTTTCAAACATTATAATATTGTGTTTTTTAATCTACAAAATATTATAGAACTTTTTTTTATTTTTTTGCTTTTTAAAATGCATTACCCAAGGTTTTCTAACCCTCTAAAACCCTGATATTTTTGGGAATGCTGAAGTAAAAAATGTATTATACAAAGAAGTTATATTTTAAATAAGATGTATACTCAACCCTTGGAATTAAAAAAAATTAAGTCTGCAATAAATTGATGACCTAAAATTGTTTTAGGTTGGTATCAGGTTGGCAAAAACATTTACTTACAATGGCTTCACTGTAAAAAATAGAAATGAGGTTAGCAAAAAATCGCTGACCTGATGATTTTTTTGCCTAGCTACCAAAGCTATTTTTTTATTTCAAGTTATTTTGAATTGTTAGTTATTGTTTAATATGACTAATATATATGATATAAAATAAAATATGATAATAAATGATGATTCAATAAGTTATTTATAAAACTCAATAGGATTGGGCCTACCATGCAAAGAAAGAGATTGACAAAGTAGTTATTAAATATAAGCTAAAAAGATTTCGTACTACTAAAATAATTAAAATTTACAAGATATTTAAAATGTTTTTTTTATTTTTGGTTTTTAGAGTGCAACACCAAAAAAACGAGTCTTTTTTTATTTTAAAGTCTTATATACAAATGTTGCAGACAAATTTTTTCTATAGGCTGAAGATCCAATTGAAGAGGTCCATGAATCCTTAAGAAAGAAAAAAAAGGTGAAACTTGTTACTCCTAAAACTTGTTATTCCTATATTTATTGATTTCTAAGAGCAAATGAATTACATTAATTTGACACCTGGTTCCAGTTTAAATTTTTTATTTTCACACTATTGTACAACAATACCAGGGTCAAGCACAACTATAATACATATACAATATTTAAACTGGTAAACTAAATATTATACATTGTTCATGATACCATACAGTAGTTTAATTTTTTGCATTTAAACTTCATTCTTGAAATTTTAGAAATTTTGAACTTGAATTTTAACTTCTTCATTTTAATTTCTACTTGAAGATTGTTTTATATTATAACTTTTTCATCAAACATTTTTGTTAAACAATTTGAATAGATTAACACAGGTATCATTTAGAAATATAGGATCTATATTTCAAAAAGATGACGTTTAGAAAAAATTGTATTTTATGTTACAATAATAATAATAAAAAATCTATATTTTTGAATAATAATGATTTTCAGTCTTGTTAGAAAGATTTGTTTGGAGTATTTGATGTCAATGTTAACACAGTAAGTTACATAACTTTGATTTTTATTTGTCAGTCAATATAAAATTGTTTTTTTTTTAACTTTTATTTCTTTGATTTATATTTTATAAATAGATTTAGTAATATATAAATATAACATAGATATTTCCTGTTTTATTTTCAATAATATATTTTACTAAAAATATTGTTTGTGACATTATTTGATTAATAAAATTCATTTATAAAAAAAGCTTGTATTATGCTTCTTTCTATTGTTATGATATTCTACATGATAAGTTAACCTGCCAATTATTTTTCATTTGAAAATCTGTTTTTATGTGTAATGCAAACAAGAGTATGAAAGCCAGTTAGCCTCCTTGACCGGTGTAGCCGTTAATTTTCATGGACATAACATAAGATTTTCATAATATAGCAAAATTATCTCTTTGCAAGGCAAAGTGGGGTGCCTTGCAGAGAGATAATTTTGCTATATTATAAAAATCTTATGTTATGTCTATGAAAATTAGTTGTTGCCTAAGTTGCTGCGTATACTACTTCTGATAGTTGACTTATGCACCAATCTTAACTGAAGCATTAAATCAGCCTTCTTTATTTAATTTTAAATAACTCCAATATTAAATTCTCCATTGAATTCTGATTTAGTAAGTTAAAATTTATATATATATATATATATATATATATATATATATATATATATATATATATATATATATATATATATATATATATATATATATATATATATATATATATATATATATATAATATATATATATATATATATATATATATATATACATATGTATATATTTATAATGTATATATATATATATATATATATATATATATATATATATACATATATATATATATATACATATACATATATATATATGTATGTATGTATGTATGTATGTATGTATGTATGTATGTGTATACATATATAGTTGATTTTTTAAATTAAATAAAAATAACTACATAATGTTTACTACTAAAAGTTTCATGTGTTTAGCAATTATCAGGTAAAAAATACATTATGTTTTTTTTGAAGAAAAAAAAAATACTCTTAATAAATATTGTGACGTTCAAAAACAATTATAAAACTGTTACTATTTGAGAGTATTATTTGGTTTTTAAATCTTTGGGTTTGTGGTTGTCAAGCAAGAACTTGTTTTTTTGACAACACTTAGATATTATTTCTGTTTCCTTTTTAAATAATTCTTGCATAACTTTTTATGATAAATTCAAAGTTTTTCATGAAGGCAAAGCAAAAACTTTTTTGTTATGTTGCTGTAGGCGTAGACTTGTTTAACTATTGACCAGGTGATATTGGGTATTATTTTAAAGTTTTTGTCTGCCATATTTACTTTGAATGGGTTGAATTTTTCAGTTTTTTGTTTGTGAATAAGTGTTTGTAATTTACCTATCTTTTTTTTCATTCACCTTCTGTTAGGCCAATATATACTTTTTCTGAAGTGTTAGAAGGGAATACTATACATTTGTAAACAACATTAGAGGTTCTACATTTTCCTATTATTGAGCAGTTTTTATTTATGCAACTGCAGGGTGGGTATTCTTTTGGTCTTTCTGAAATGACTTTCTTGTTGTGGCTTTTTACTATTCTTTCAATATTTTTCATGCAGCTGTAACTCACTTCGATGGTATTTAAATTGAATAGTTTATTTAGGGGGTGAGATGTTGGAAAATATTTGTCAGTTTTAAGTTTAGTATATGCCTGACATTTGTAGAAATGCTTTTACTATCGGGGGGAGGGGGTGGGTTAAACCATATCGTATTTCTTTTTCTTATCTTTTTTTTTTTTGTCTTTTTCTTATTTTTGGGGATATTATAGCTCAGGTATCATTCATCAAGCAATTTTGCTGAATATATGCACACAGCGAAATTAAATTTTATATGTATATATATATATATATATATATATATATATATATATATATATATATATATATATATATATATATATATATGTATATATATATATATATTTATACATATATATATATATAATATATATATATATATATATATATATATATATATATATATATATATACATATATATATATACATATATATATATATATATATATATATATATATATACATATATATATATATATATATATATATATATATATATATATATATATATATATATATATATATATATATATATATATACACACACACAGCTGAAGAATTTATATGAAAGGCATTTTTACATGGATTTTATTACCATGATTATCATTTTTACATGGATTTTATTACTTTTTTTTTTACAATGATTTTATTACCTATGAAACACACTAATTAAACAAGGCTATTATTATATTTTAGTTAATTCCAACATTAAATTCTCCATTAATTGAATCTTTAACTCATGCTGATAACAATTTTGATTCAGTAAGTTATAGATTTTTTTTTTTTTAATTTAAAATTTAATTTATA